AGTAATAGGTAATAGTAATAGTAATAGTAATAGTAATAGTAATAGTAATAGTAATAGTAATAGTAATAGTAATAGTAATAGTAATAGTAATGTAATAGTAACAGTAACAGTAATAGTAATAGTAATAGTAATAATAATAATAATAATATGCTTCATTTCTCCTGAGACATAATACAATGCATGGAAAACGTTAAGTAAATACAATAAATAAATTAGTTTAAATAAACCAGCTTAACATTTTTAAGTGACCTAACAGTAACAGGTACAAAATAAATAAATTCTTGCAATATTTTTAGAACCACCAACCCAAATTGACTTAATTCTAAACAGATTTAAGCATTACTATTATTTTTAGCAAATTTGTTAATATTTGAAGAATATATACATTTTAGTCATATTTTCTCCCCAATAGATACAATTCTGTACCCACTAAGTATAATAATAACAGCTTACACCTGTATCAGACAACACAGTTTAAGGTGACAGGTAACCATCCTACACATAATTATTGTTTATTATTTAATAACAAACTATTCACTGACATACCTATTACACCAACATACATGTTATTTGAACCTAATTATTTTATATATATATAAACATAAAACACCACAGAAATGAGACAACCCCCAAATCCAAAAGCCAAAGGCTTGTGCGGAAGGGGGCTACACTTGAAAAAACGCAGACAAACACCCATTATCCATCGACATTGCCAGTGCCGACACCGGGGAGCGAACCCGGGCCAGAAGCCTAGCCGAGAAATGCTTGCCACCGCACTCTCGACCGACTGCGCTACCGTGGCGATATAATATGTAATTTCATGGAAAATTTTCAGTTTCGAAAGATTTTTGTTTTAACAAAAAAATACGTGTAACTATCGAAGAGGTATTTAATATAATACATAATTATTATTTCCTTAATGGTCCTACGCCATTGCGTTGGCAGCTCTCTGAATTGCAAATCGCGTCGTCGGTGTTATTTAATAGGGAATCGAGTGGTAAAGAAGAATGCGTAGTTCATTTTGGAAACCAATATCTCGGTGGGATAAGCGTAAAAAGTTATTTCTTTGTTCTGTATAAGAACAATTGAATTGGTTGTACAATTAAGATAGGTACTTGACATTTAGAATGTGGGTAGGACTAACAACACGAAAACTGACCTTTCTAAATGACGCGCGGGCTGTTTAATCGAACAACATGAGCGACCTTTATGATTTAGGAAACCACATGATTATAGATACTTTGGGAAAATTTTTATTTTATTATTTATTTTGGTTTTACTTGTCTAGACAAAAACTATTAGTATGTTGTAGGAAGGGTAAAATGTAGAACATACAGGGTGTATCATAATTAAAAGCGTAAATTGAAACAGCTGTAAGTACACGATGTTGCAAGCAAAAAATTCGAGGTAATTTAGAATTTGTGGTTACCAGCCACCACTAACTTGATTGTATTGTGTAAACATTCACTTACGGCCAAACAAGGCCAGTAAACCCTCTCTAAACGATGGCCATTGGCCAGCATGACGCATCGTGAAGAGGTGTTTTTACACTCAAATTTGCGGGTAAGCATCAGCCCTTTCTTTGACTGATCTTATAGCATGGCTTATAAGATCAGTTTATCTAATCGAAGCAGCTAAATCTATAACAATAATTATTTCAACAGTTTTAAAGGCTATTGTTAATTTTATTTTTTTATCATACATTATATTTTTAAACAATTCTTGACAGATATCTACGAAGCAAAATGATATTGTTTACTTAATGATGGATGCAATTCATATTTCAGAATTTATGTGTCAATATCATTTCAACTTATCACTTACAGATAATGACTTGCACACTGAAATTGGTACCAACTACTGGTACTTGATAGGTTGTTTTTAAAATGAGCTGCAATAATGGATAATTCTTTTGTGGTCCAAACCAATAAATTTTGGGTTTTGTTGTATTTCTTTAATAAATTAGCCATTTTATTCCATTTAAAAGGGCATCACAATTTTAGGAAATTATGGCACTTCCTTCTCCAATTTTTTAAATAATTCATTGAGTAAAGAGATTGTTAATTTAAAATGTTTAAAAAAACGAATTTCGCTAAATTATCACACGCTGTGTGAAGCAAGATACAAGTTTGAATATATAACAAATAAATTTCATGAAAAACGCTGACAGGTCAATTTTTCTTTTCAGATCTTTTTTATAACAATTTTAATATGGTGATAATTTTTTGTTTAAATAACGCCTATTTTTTTTCAAATTTCAATGGATTATTATGAATTATGAATGAATTATTTCAAAAAAACATCATTTTAATTTTTTTTTAATTTTAATTGGACGTTTTAACGAAAATTTAGATGCATTAAATAACATCAATAATGGTGATAAATATTAAAAGTGAGCAGTAATTACTAACTGCTTATCAGTACTCTAAATAGTAAACATTTTCTGCATTTTTAATCATTTCGGAAGAAATACCTATAGTTTATCTTACTTCTAATCGTACTTTTCTAATTTTCTATGGCGTGAAAAATGTGCACGCATGTAAACGGGTTTTAAGTGCTACAAGACAATATCGAGAGGCTTTAAGTCTGGTCACCGGGCTGGCCACTGTATTACATCGTATCTTCCTATCTACCGCATGAGAATCACGTTGGACATAAAATCTCTAACGATGCTGCCTAATGTAGAGGTGCTCTATCGTGGTCTTCAATGGAAGCATCTGAAATATACAAAAAGAATTTGGTCGTCATTTAATGTATTGCCAAACAACAAACGATGCTCAATTTGAACGTTTATTGTCTTTTTGTCTATAATGTTAATAATTTTTTATAATATAGTAACTTAACTTTCAAATAAAGTAATGTTTTTGAAACAGAGATCCCTAATTTATTCATACAAAAAGGGATTTCTAGAGAAAATGACCCCACATATCAACGTATTCAACAAATGAATTATATCTAATTCTAATGAAAAAAATGAAAGTTGTTATTAAAAAATACATTTATGACAATATGATTCAAATACCGTTTAAAGTTAAATTTAACAAAACTATTAAAAAATATCTAAATAAAAATTAAAGTGTTTTGGCTTATTTATTTTTGCTTAACAAATGATGGAAATAAATTCAAAACTTAATTTTCAATAAAGATTAAGATGGCATCATAATGTACAGGGTGTCCAACGCATAAACATTCCCGAGGTAAAAAAAGCAAAAAGTTTTAACCATGATTTAGCAAAGTACCATTTTCAAGTTATGGCCTTTAAATTTCTAGAAAAAAAGTTTATTTTTATATTTCAAGAACGCATAATAATACCTTCACAAAATTTTATAGAGTAATAATACATACATTTAATACTTAAAATTATCAACCTTTTTCATGAAACCTAGCTTCTACGCCTGTGACATTTTGTGAAATATTTATGTATATTCAGTCAAGTAACACATTTTCATATTTTCTTAAATTTTGAGTAAATTGTATAATAATTAATAACAGCTTTTTATTTTATAACAGAAATATACAATTTTCCAAAATAATTTTATTATATAAGTTAAGAAAAGCTAATTATGAACATAGTTGGTATACCAAAATAAAAAAAAACAATATAAAAAAATTAAAAAATATATGAAGATGTAACGAAAACCATTTTTTACAGTAGAGAATGGCTAACTCCTCCAGTGTTCAGCACTAAAATAAATTAGATTAATTTTTCTTTAATTTTGGATTATTTTATAATTTCTTTTCTCTCTTACAGACTGCTAGCCAACGCGCTTTCGACGAATGGGTGAAAACGATTGCCATTGAACTTATCCGTCAAACTCCCTTGGATGCCATCAAGTACCTGGATATTTTGACCATTGCAGACTGCTGGAAGAGGAGAGAGGAAAGCTACGAAAAAGACTGGAACTTTAACAACTGCGTGTCGGTAGACGCAAAACCCGAAACGAACTGTGGCACTTGTAAAAACCACTGCGAAAAAATAAACATTAACAAAACTACAGTTACAGCAAATGATAACAGCACTACAATATCGAAAATACCCGAAAGAACTGCTAAAACGGTAGCTATTGTAGAAGAACAACACGTTGAGGATTTATTAAAGAAATGCCAAAACGTTGAAAACTATGTACCGGTGAAAGAAAAGCTTTTCCTTTTCGAATCCCTGTGCAAATACGGAAGGAAAGTGAGAAGTACGGAGGACGTTTCATTAAAAGTAGATACCGGAACGAAACGAGCTAGGTCTTTACACGACTTAACGAATTTGAATTCCCACATTGCAGTTAGAGAAATCTGCAAATATTTTGAGAAAAAGAACTGTTCTCAAGATGAGAACAACGTTGTAAACTGTAAGACCAGGCCAGATTTGCAATTTAACGATTTATACAAGTGTCGCAAAGTTTTAACTACATAATTTGTGGATTTGTGAATGTATATAATTGTGAATTTATATATAAGTTATTGTTTATAAATTTGAGATGTTATATTGTAGACTTGTTTTTATTTATTGTGTAAATATCGATAATGAATGAATTATATAACAAGTGTTAAGGATTCTAAATAAATTAACTTTTTTTATCGAGTTCAGTTATTCAAATACTTATTTTATTAAAATCACAGAAAAAATAAATTCCCAAGACTCCATTACGAAGAACACTACTTACTAAGAATAACGGTCTTGTTCATTTTATATAATCAAGCTAGGCAACTATAAGTTGAAAATATTAATCTACAGATTAAATTAAAAAATTACATTTTTTTTAACTGACGATAATGCAGAAAACAATTACTATGCGAGTAATCTGCCATCGAATTATACCAGCAATATGTAGTAAACAACTAAATCATTTGTCCGTCGAACTTCGAACCCACCAGACACATACCGGTTTCGAACTTATTAGTCTTCAGCGGTATGCCATAAGCCATAAGTGAGCCAACTGATGAAGGATCCAGATACGGAGTATCTGGTCTCATGCACTTCGCCAAAGATAAAGTAATTCGCTTATCTGCCATCTAGTGTCATTAGTCAGAACTATCCCAAATCTCGAAAATCTCACCAGGCCGATTGTATTTTTATAGAAAGCGCCATCTGCTAAATTTAATTAAAGCATTGGCAAAAAAATATTACAGTTACGTTCTTAAATAGAGAATCCCCCAATTTATTACGATCTTGGTCCAGTAGATGACGCTGTATGTAAATTGGATCGATGAAGCAAACTGCACATGTATTTTGGGAAACTGTTGCAAGAGAATCGAATATCTAAAAAGTATCGATTTCATTTTTAAATTCCAAGGCGGATGAAGTTAAGCGGAATATTTTCAGATTTTTGCGAGTTTTCAATTGTTTGCAAGTTACAGCTTGTCAAAGTTAATCTTTTTTCATTTTTCTTTTTAAATAACTGAAGTTCTATTATTCTTCTATTTGGTATACCCCCTAAGTAGATCAAGCTCTATTGGACCAGTCAGAGAATATTTTCATTATGCACTTTACCTAGAACTCAAAATTTGTTTTGTTCATAACTTTTCCCTTGCTAGACATCACATAAATTTAAACATTGTTGAAAAGAGAAACAATATCACAAAATTTTATGTACTCTTTGTTAAAGCCGATAAATGTAACCGTTTAGCAGGAAATCGCTATTAAAGTTTTACTAAACATCAAATTTTTTATGTCATGCTTCAAATAAGTATCATTAGTAATTATGGTGTTACGAATTGTAACGAAAATCGAACTTTGAATTGAATAAGTTATTTAAAAAAGAAAATAAAAAAAATTGAACATTGACAAGCTGTAAACTTGCAGACATTGACACTTCGAAAAAAAAATCGTCACATACTGCTATTATTTTAATCCCTAGAATCACCTCCCGGAGATTTCTGACGGACTTTCACAACACCCTGTATACTGGGTTACTAATCAATAACACACAGGAATGATTCATTTTTTTTATAAGTTCTGTTAATAAAATAAAAAATTTCGGAAACCGATCAATTATTGCTGTTTTACATCGTCAATTTATTCATGAATAAATTGACGAAGTTCTTCATGAATTAATTCAAGAATTTATTGGTAAGCAATGTGGTTTTGCACTGCTACAGACTTTGACAAGTTTTTTGACATATGAATCAGTTCTACCAATGAATCAAAGAAGCAAATAAATTTCAAAAATGTCACCTTTCCACTCAGAATTGTAGAGACAACAGCGGTACCGTACTGATACATATTATATAAATATTAGTTTTTGTAAGTAACAAATCAGTAAAGACAATGCAAAACTAGTAGGACGCCACACAATTATTTACATATTCCAATAACATAACCTCATTACTGATCTGAGACTGGAAATCTGTTGGGTTGGTACTTCTGAACTTCACGAAGAAATTGACGAAAATTAGAACATGCTCTAATTCGTTAAGAACTTGATGAATAAATTCATGGAGACTATAGTCTCCATGAATAAATTCATGAAGTTATTTGACAGCAGATTTGGTGCATTACACTTGTCCAATTTCTTGATGAAGCGACTTCATGAATTAATTGATCAATAAATTGTCAATGTAAAACAGCTATTAGAAACGTACCCATTCCTCGCCTTACGAATTTAAATCTCATTGCTTATAGTGTCATCTGGCGTCTAGTTTGGTAACTCCTGCCCCAACCCACATCACGATAATTTGAACAAATTTTATTCTGAAATCTTTACGCAGAGCGCCATCTACTATCTGTAAACTCAATTAAAATTAAGCTATATAAATTGTCGACTGAAATATTTCAACCAACGTATTGCGTTGACTGAAATAGCGTACTAATATTTCAATCAACGTATTGTATATTTCAATCAACATATAAATCGTTAGCTGAATATTTCAGTATATTACAGTTACCTTCTTTCCCATACGGAATATTTCATTATTGCAACCTTCGCTTGGTAGATGGCGCGGAATATAAATTAGAATCCGTTTTTATATTCCATTGATATTTGATTTCATTTGATAATTCGAAATTTCTAAAAAAAAAATGGCTGAATGGTCATGAAAATATGTGAAAATTTAAAAGCGCCTTTGATTGAATTATCTGTTCCATACAGTGAACAATGTATTTTATGCCGCTGATCACGACTAGGGTGGATTACGTAATCTAATATGTGAAAATTACATAGAAAATTTAAAATGCCTAAAGAAAGTTTGAAATAGTTGTAATAGTTATTTTGTAAAAATTTCTTGACGAACATAACAAAAACATCTTAATCCGAAAAGCTACAAAGGCACTGATTTCATTTTTCGATTCTCCAGGACCGAGTTGAGGAAGTTTTTTCAAATTTTTTTTGAGACCCATTAAAATGAAAATCTTGATAGACTTTGTCCTTAAAAATTATTGAAATTTTAAAGCGCTTAACTAACGGTTGTATCACATATTTCGTCTAGTCGCACAGGAAAGGTTAGTGAAATTAAAAAATCTCAGAAATCTGAAAAGCTTTTCATTTTCAGATTCATCAGGTTCGATACAGTTCAAAGGATTTTTTTGAGATCTAACACTAAAAAAATCACATAATGATGTTCCAGCAGATAGTATTTGGTTTCAACAAGATGGGGCCCCTTCTCATTTTGGAATTGCTGTAAGCAATTATTTGCATGAAATTGTTCCAAATAGGTGGATAGATCGAAGAGAAGCCATTGAGTGACCACCACGTGCACCCAATTTAACTCTCCTATATTATTTCTTGTGAGGCTATTTAAAAAGCAGAATTTACGTTGATAGACCAGACATCATGGAGGACTTAAAGAGAAGAAATTAACCAGAGGCAATTGAAAATACCACGGATGAATTCGAACATCGACTCGTCCATTGCCTAAAACGGGGGTCACTTTGAACATCTTTAAGTCACATAAAATTATTTAATTAAAAATCCTTAGGTTATTGTTTTTGAAAAACTCTTTGCATTACATTAAATTAAGTAGTAATACATTTCTCTGTTTTGTGACGCTGTTGAGCGGCGGCGGTTACCTCGGGCACCAGTTTTTGTTTAAAGTGCAGAAACACCACTACTCGGGCGGCTACACGGTATGTCCAGAGGGTCTAGAGAGAGTTAGACAACACAGGAATAAAAGTCACAAATTGATAAATATTTACATTTATTTACAGTTTTAGTACAAACGGACAGCAACCAAGTCTTTACCTGTTTCCTAAACCTTGACTCAATTCCTTCGCTGGGCACGTCTGGTCGGTATGCGCAGAACCTAACTTACTTCGGCGGTGGCTGGATTGGACGGCTTGTTGTGATACCGGGAGATGGACCCAACTGTTCGCTGCCACGGCTCGATGTCGACTTCTTCTTCAAAAGCAGCTTGTTGGCAATGTTTATACGGTGGCTCTTGGCGGCTGCACAGTTCTCCCAGGCTGGGTTTAGCAAAATCTTACCAATTCCTATCGGTGACATAGCTTGGGCTGGAGCGGCTCGACTGGTTGCTGCGGCGGCTGGTGAGGAACTGAATCTTTGATGGCGGCTTAATTTGTAAGCCCTGGTGATGCTTCGAGCTGCATAGTTCTCCTAGGCTGGACATGTAAAATTCTTACTCGTGCGACGGTGACGTATTCGCTGGCTGGGCCGTGGGCAGGCTCGCCTTGATTGGTCCCTATGACGGCTGGAGACAGACTGTTGTGCGTGATGCAGGCTAGCAAGCCATAGACTCTGCGCTACGCTACACATTTGAAATGCCAAAAACAATGTCAGTGTGGTAAACTACATTTATTACTAATTAATCAAAAAATAACATAAATGTAGGGTGTTGAAAAATCATTTCGTTAGTTTTTTCACACCTGTCAAAGTAAAGTAGGCCAAACCCTATATCGACGCATTTCCCTTCAAAAGGGCTATCCTTTTATGCTTTAGCAGAAAACTTTTTTTAGAGATGCCTATGAAACTCATTAAATTTTATTGCTAGTCGGTTTTATACATATTCAACTGGCTTCAGAAAGACTATACCAGTGGTATTGGAACGTGAAGCTTTTGTAGTCGCCACTGGAGATGCTGACAGTGAAAAACGACAAAATATTTAGAAGAGCTGAATGGGGCCAATTATAGATGCCACTATGACACTTATCATCATCATCAGAACAGCACCAAGGAGCAGTTCCATCTATAGCGGCCTTAGGATTAACAAAGACTGAAATGAATATTAGGGTGGGCCTAGATGTTCTGATAGGCGGTCTACCCCCACAGAACCTAGCCTAAGAATGACAAAGGCAGGCGTCATAGATTTATAGCCAAGGATAAGGAAGTGAACGTCTGTTAACTGATGGAAAAACCATTGCACTTTAAATATCAGCACAGGCCAAGAAAACCTTAAAATTACCGTTATATCTTGCAGAGTAGCTTCTTGAAAGTTATTAAAGTGTGATTAATTTTTGTAATAAGTTAAACTCCAATTTCGTTCAACAACTTTTATTTTAAAATCAATACAAATAAATAATTTGCTTTACAAATAAAATATTGGCACAACAATTGGTCCTATTCTTCATATAAAAATTTATGTGCTTCCTTATAAAAAATTTAAAGTCGATAATAAAAAAATATACAAATCGACTATATTCAACTGTTTTATAAAAATCTAGCTACTACCCTATCCTGAGTGTACAAAAATATAAACAAATTTATCACACTTTATTACATTGTAAACAATTAACAATGCTAATAAATATTTGCTTTAAGAGTAAAACATACACTGCAAATTTAAGAAGTTTATGGACTCATTACAGAACGGTAGTGGTTTTATGAATATTACAAACTTAAGACATATGACTGTACCTTCACATTTTGTAAAACAAGAAGGCAGTAAAAGGCATGCAAAAATGAATGTGTTACTCTTAAATCAGAGGTACAAGTACAATGAAACCAGTTATTACTATAAACTGTGCAAAAATACATTTTTGCAAACTAAAATATTTACCTAGTTTTTCCTTGTCATTATTAAATCTGTCAGACATATGTAACCCTTTAAAACCTCACAATTTAAAAAGAGTGCCAAATATGTTTTTTTAAATTTTACTGTAAATTATTGCTCCAAAAAGGATTTATTAAGTACAATTTTTTATTCCTTTTCGATTAATTCCCTATCTAGTGAGTCCAGTGTATCGTTTGAGCTGGAGTGCGTAAGGTCTGTCAATTCATCCAAATGTTTCTGCCTTTTCCGGACATTCCAATGCAGACACTCGGCTAGAGAATCAAACCAGTCCGAAATTTGGTCTTGTGCGCATATGCTCGGAACAGGATAAATGGAAGTCGTTACCCTTAAACTGAACATATAATTATAAGCTGAGAGAAAAAACAGTAAACATTTTTGTTTTCTAAACATAAACGACTTAATAATGATTCACTTTAAATACAGGGTGATTCACAAACAGTGACCAAAAATGAAACCTCGTATTCTTGGGTGAATTTTAAGTGGAGTCTTTTGTATTAAGTTTTTATTTAAGATAGAAAAAGATACTAGGTGTTAAACTTAAAAAATTATTTTTAATTTTTTGAAATAATTTGAAATTGGGCACATGTATTTATGTAAACATTGTCCAAAATCTGAGGCCTTTTTCTGAAATTTAGATTTTCCAGTGGCAGAGATACAGGACACATATTTTTCTAAATAAAATAGTACTCCACTGGTTTAGGGTAACAATCATGATATTTACGCATTCGTCTTTCACTTTTCTACAAATTACCACTCTCTTATGTTTTTCGAAAAAAGCCTGATTTTCAAGTAAAACTTAAAAAACCAACTGAAAACACTTTTACTTAAATGACATGACAAGCATTCGGTTATTTATTCAAATAAAAAAATTAATAACAGTAGTCATCATTTTAATGATTTTATTTGAGTAAATGCTCAAAAATACCTCCATTTCCATGCACACAGGTGCTACATCTTTTTAGTAACAAAAATGTAATATGTTCAAAATTTATTGTTGCTTGAATCTGATGAAAAGCATTATTTATTCTTTCTTCTAACTGCTCAGGTGTATTAATTTGTTCACTGTATACGAAATGTTTAACAGCATCCCACAGAAAAAAATTCAGTAGGTTGGGATCTGGAGGTCTTGCAGGCCAATGTACAGGTCCATAGATAAAAATAATATCGGCAAACTCTTCGTGGGTATATTCCATTATAGAAATTAATTAAACAATCCAGAAATTAGAAATTAGCTTAGAAATAATAACAATAAAATTTGTAAGTGATGGGACCGCCTAGCCGGGTGTCTTGGACGGTGGATTTCGATCTGCTGAGGCAAGCATCACGGACGCAGGCTGGAATTTGGATGGGTGACCTAAGGCAGGCTCGGGGACGTGGCTGTGGCAGCATCACGGACTCAAGCTGGAATTTGGATGGGTGACCTAAGGCAGGCTCGGGGACGTGGCTGTGGCAGCCTACCAGAGACCTGGGTCGCCCAACATTTGCCGCATGCGTGTGGTCCCCAATAAATGGTAATGAGAGGAGAGCAAAGAAAATCTGTAACTCATGCTACCATACATACACTGTACGAGATTTTGTCACCAAGCCACCCATAGGATGGTTGCCACCAAGCCACCCATAGGAATAGGATGGTTTGAAGAAAAGTACTCGAGTAATGAAGGAGGGTGTACAAGGGGCCTAATAAGGCCTAAGTGCCGCAGTGGAAAAACAATTTCACCACTCTCCGACATACATACATACATACATACATTTGTAACTGATATTTTAAAAACAATTACAGTAATAATAATCAAATTATTGGCAGAATGTCAAAGTTGCTATCGCAGCCTAATATGTAATTTTAATTCGCATTTTATTGAAATATCGAAGTATGTTTTCAGTTCGTTTTTTAAGTTTTACTCAAAAATCAGAATTTTCTCGAAAAACATAAAAGAGTAGTAATTTGTAGAAAATTGAAAGACGAATCCGAAAATATCATAATTGTTACCATAAAGCAGTGGTGTACTATTTTATTTAAAAAAATATGTCACCGATACCCTGTACCCTCGCCACTGGTGCATCTAAATTTTAGGAAAAGGCCTCAGATTTTGGACAATGTTTACATAAATACATGTGCCCTATTTCAAATTATTTCACTTACTAGTTTTTAAATTTAAAAAAATTAAAAACATTGTTTAAGTTTAACACCCTGTATTTTTTTAACGAAGCGTTCTAGATAAAAAATTTATATGAAAGACTACTTAAAATTCACCAACAAATACGAGGTTTCATTTTTGGTCACCGTTTGTGAATTATCCTATATAATCTATAAAGCTCATGTTAGAGCAAGTTACACAGGGTAGTCATGTTTAATATAAAATAAAAAAAAAGTGAACATGCCTTGGCTTTAAAAACTTAAAATATCCTAAGTAAGTTTTCATTAGAAAAATATTTAAAATACTTTAACAAAAAAAAAATTAAATGATACTATAGTATAAGTATACACTGCTTCCATAAAGTGTAAATTCTGTAGAGAAGATATTTATTTTTAAATGCTCAAACACATCAGCTTATGTTTTAATCGCAAATGATTACAATAAAATGAGCCATTATGAAACAAACACCATGTGTTTAACCATTTTTCATAAAAAAAAGTTATTTGACTCTACATGCATTGTTTTACGAAGGCACCGTATATGAATAAATGTATTAATTCCACACACCACCATTTTCTCCAGCAGAAACAAATAAGCAGACAGTGAAAGTTATACAAGGTGATTTATTGGAACAATATTTTAAAAGGAGGTTAGTCTAATAAGTAGGAGACTACTTGTAAAAATTCAGAGTTGTCGGAGTTCATGTTTGCATGCGACCCATTTAAATATCATGTTAAGAGTGTCAGCCTGACACCGAACCGGTTTGACAATTGCAAGTGACAAGAAACAGACAAAAACCTGCAATGCAGGTAACACACTATGGTTCCAGGAAAAGTGGCCAGCAAAACCGACAGATTGGCGCCAGGGACTGGACACTGATATAGTCTTTCCGAAGTCAGTTGAACATGTATAAAAAAAATGAGCAATCAAATTTAATGAGTTTCATAGGAGTCCCTAAAAAATTTTTCTGCTAAAGGTAAAAAATTATAATAATTTGTATATAATGTATAGAAAATATCTATTATATGTTCATTTCTATCACCTCCACATTTAGTTCGACCAGACCTGTATATGGGTATGGCTAAATAAATATGGGAACAAGTTTTTCAAATATTTAAATGCCAAGTTGCTGCGTCTACGACCGAACCTGGTACATACTGTGAATCTGTTGGTTCTTCAATTGATATCAAAAAGACTATACCTGCGAGCGACTCCACAAAAGGAGTCACCAACAAACACTTGCCCCAACAACATTTCTTTTTACTTTACTTGTGTTTTCAATAAAAAATACCTTTTATTTACCGTTGAGAGAGTTTCATTTCGCTGCACACCAAAAGCAACCCTCAATAGTATTTCTTTGTATTCTAATATTATATTTGTCATCAATAATGCCACAAACATAATTCGTGAGCAACGGGACAAATGTGATCATTCACAAAAATTTATTCGGCGATCTGAATCATGTCTCGAATGTACCTAATGTACGTAAATCTTTAAACATTTTGCTAAGAGTGGCTTTTTTGCAAACGATCTCTCACATATACATTTTTTAATTCATATTTTGCCATCGGTGAGGATGGCCACTTTATTTATGCCGTATTCAAATAAATCACCCTGTAGAAACAAAGCAAATGAAAGAAATGAGTAAAAAGTATCGGCCATATAAAAATTTTGCAAAAAAATTTATTTTTGTTTCTTGCATATGATTTTTTGTTAATGACAAGGTTTATGTAAATAAAGAAAAAATATTTTCATGTATTTTTTGGGCTAAAGAACTAGAATAATTAAAGAAGAGAAATAAGTTGCAATTACTACAAACGTAAAAACTGCTTCTTAATTTCTGTGTCAACTACAAATCTATGGTACAAGTTGGTACAATATTTTTTCTTTGCCGCCATACACCTAAACACGGACCCCATGTTGAAATAAAAGTTACAACACACCTTTCACCAGGGTGCAATTCCTGTTGATACCGACCATCAAAGCAAATATAACTCGAACTCCTAGCCTCAGGAGATGGGGCTATCTGCAAGGAAAAAGTTTTTTTGCAAAAAAAATATATGGTGTATCTGAAGACAAAGAAACTCAAGCTGCAAAAAGAGGTCAAAAGAAAAATGACTGAAATAAAAGAGGATGAATAGTGGTGGTGGTGGTTGACCATTGGAGAATATCTTCTAAAGTAGCCTACCTGTCACCGTGCAACAATTCTTGTCGATTTCGTCCATCAAACGACACCCAAGATGTGTTTCTGCTGTCGGGGGACACTGATATCTAAGATAAGGTATCACTACAGCATGAAAAATATACAGTCTCCAATAACTTTTGTGTATTAAACTATTAAATTTAAATATTTACAATGACTTTTCCCCAAGTCATGTTAGTCTTTCTCCAGTAGTCTCATATTTAACAGTTTAATACACAAGGCGTACAGGGTGATTCACTATTTATCCAAAAAAATTTGGGAATAGATGCGGCATGAGAAATGGAGTCAATATCATAACTGGACAACTGTAGTCTCTAGCGTCATTCGTAATACTCGTAAAGAGTCACGTGGCTTCAGCAACTCCGAATACTGAAATCCGATTTTACAGTCGTCGTTGCCATAGTGTTTACAATAATTTTTTAGTATAGTGTCAAAAATGTCTTCAGTGTATAGCAACTCGGAATTGACAGATATCGTTTTAATTTATGGTGAAGCAAGAAAACATTTGTATTATGGTGAAGTATTTGTGTTATGGTGAACAAGACAGTATTTGTCTTAGTTCATAAACTGTGTTTACACGTCGGTGGACAAAATTTTGAACAGTTGTTTTAACATCAGGTATGTCAAATTATTTTATTATTTAAAACCACAAATTTATTTTATTAATTAATAATGACAATAACTGCAAAATCTGTTGAATTTGCTGATATAAAATAGGTGCTATAAAATTCTATTTATTCCTTTCATTGCAAAATTCTTTGACGTTTTTGTCTGTTTTTATCACTACCGCTGTAACAGGCGCATTATGCCAGGTCAGGTTATACAATGGACCAGTTTCCAGTGCCATGCAGAAGTGTATTTTTAAATCATTTCGAACTGCCCTTTTTAATTTTTTCTTTACAAAATTGTATTTGTAAGAGTCCCCTGTACATCCTGTTTTTTTTTTGGATAAGTTCTGAATCACCCTGTATAAAGATTTTATGAAATTTTATACGGAATTGAACAAAAATTTAATCCATCATAAAGGAATTTTAATTTAGGATGTAAGCAAAATAAAAACATTTACATATTATGTCATTTGTCTTAAAGATTTATAAATTCCACTTATTTGGTTTAATCCTTAGCAAATATTATAATTCTATGCAATATATTATTATAAACAAATATTTTTAAGGTCCTACTAGAATGTTATTTTGCAATAATCATTTTATTTTATGATATATTAAATGAGAAAGGCATTATAAATATTTAAAAACTGCTATAGTCTGTTTAGAAATGAAAGAGAGTAATAAAGGCTCATTATGTATGCAAATCGTAAATAAATGTAGTACTGGTGCTTATATTCAATATTTTTATATTATGTATTTTCCGTATAGATGAGGTCTACTTTTAACAAAACTTTGTGCGATCGAACTGTACTAAATTGTAGCAGGTAGCTAAAATTTAATCCACGACAATCCGTCAATTTCTCGGTTCATTTCTCTTATAAGTAAATAATATAAAAATAGCATTTCAAAACATGAGGCTACTTTAAGCATCATAACCGGGTTAAGAGGGTTTTTAGTAATTCAAATAAAATTATTCAATATTATTATCAAAATATTTATTTAAATTTAATGAATAGACTTTTATTCCACACAAAAATATATGTATTTTGAAAATTCAAATTATGGTGAGTAAATGTAGTGTTGTATAAATGTACAATAAAGAAAATAAAAAAGTAGGTATATTAAAATTAATCCTCTGAATATTCTCATGAATTATCTTCGTCTCCTAGATTGATAACGATAGGTTCCACAGTAACGTCAATTAAATTATCGAGTTCCCACATTTTCTCCTCTTCTTTTTGTACATGATGTATACATCTTTGCCAGTTATCTGCAGTTACTCGTTCCAAGGAATTTTTTAACAAAATTTTCACGTCACTTAATTTAAATGTCGTATTATTTCGCGCTACATCTCCTTTTACCTGCGCCCAGACTAATTCGATTGGGTTAAGTTCACAGTGACAAGGTGGTAACCGTAGTACCGTTATTTGGCGATTTGTTGCCATTTCATAGATAACATATTTTTTCTGATCTTTATTAAGATTGACAAGTGTCAAAAGTTCCTTTTTCACCATATTTGTTTCAAAAGAAATGTTTTTTCCAGATAACCATTGAATTATATTGGCTTTCCTCCAAGCAGTCGTAGGCGTCCGCTCGGTCTGCCGTGAATGGTATTATCCATGACAATTACAGACCCCGGAGAAATAAGATCCAACAACTGTGTAAAATACTCTTCGAAAACATCTGCGTTCATGTCTTCGTGATAGTCACCTGTATTTTTAGATTCAAATAAAAGTAAACCGACATCTACAAAACCACTGGCACTACCTATATGTGTCACTATTAATATTCACCCTTTACCTGAAGGTGCCTTGAACCCTGTTGAAAGTCCATCCAAAAATGCTTGTCGAAAACTTTTTACATTTTTATCTTGCCATACTTTTGTTACAGTATATCCCTCGTTGACCCAAGTTTCGTCTGGATAATAAATATTCCTCCCTTCGTCACGGAATTTTCTAATTGATCTTAAGTAGGATCTTCGCCAACAAATAATTTCATCTTTATCGATAAGAACTGACTTCCTGTTCTGTTTTTCCCAGGAAAAATTCAACTCTCGTAAGACGGCCCATAATTTGCTTCTACTGATTTTTGGCAAATCGTTGTCCTCTGAAAGTTCACTTAAAATTTTGTTTAGCGTTGGTATTTCTTTTTTAAAATAAAACGAGTGTACTTTAGTCACTAAATACAAGTCGAATTTTACTCTACTGCACTAGCACGTCTTCGTATATTCAGCTCTAAGACTGGATTGATCTGTCACAATACACTGGCTCCTGCCCTATGATGTATTCAGTAAAATATACTAATGTACACCCATTACCTGTTAGCATTAGTGTTACCCGATAATTACCTGAAACGAAATATTACCACGCCCATGGCCGGTTCTTATCTCGGGGTTTTATTACTCGCTTTCATTTCCAAACAGAGTATAGACAAAATTTGAGAAATTTAACCAAAGAAATACATCATTTCTATACAAAAAATACAAATAGCATTTATTGATGGATTAAATATAAAATATTATCATGTCTGTAATTATTTATTTATAGCATATTTTGTTAGTTTTTATTTTACTGGACGATTAAGTTAACAAAAATTTTTAAATAGGTGAATTATTTCTGGTTAGGAAAAACTAAATTTATAAAATCAACCCCTTGACTGATTCTTTTGCTTCAAGGAATCATTTATTTAATTTTTTTCCAATATAGCAAAAATACCCAATTAAAAACTGCAAACGTCGTACAAGCTATGTAAATAAATGTTTGAATTAAACAGTGGACTATTATAGTAGAACATTAAACCTTGATGGGACCATGGGTGTCATAGGATAGTAACGCTTTCACTAAATGTACATTAGTTAGGCCAGAAGCTTTCAGTTGTAGGCTTCGATGCATTAACCTTATAACACCCTAGGTACCTTAATTACTATAAAAACTTAATTAACAGCTCACCTTTAATTCAACTCCGGCAGGAACTACGATAGGCCTAAAACTTAAGGAATGAGGGCAGATTGGAGTTACCATGATGGCAGGCACACTAGGATGAATCATTGACGCACCGGCAGCAACCGCGTAAGCAGTGCTACCTGTCGGCGTACTAACTATTAGGCCATCACCCTGAACTGACGTTATATGTTTCCCATCCAAAAAGAGATCTAGAATAAAAATGTTTTGCAACGACAAACAAAATTTGTGATCACTACCATTTTAAAATGAATTTTTTATTTATGATTTTAAGCATAATATATACTTATTTACTGTATTGTATGGACTTACCTATATTAGACAAATAAGGAGAAGGACCTCTATCCACAACGACTTCATTTAGGACCAACAAATTAGTCGGAATTTTCTTCAATTTTGATTTATCGCCTGCATTACCCTGATCGCTTTTTTTCATAATAATACATCTTAAGCGACTTCTTAATGTTAAAGCTGCATGTCCTAAAACGTAGTATATTATGCAGTAAAAGATGAAAATTTAATTTTTTTATTATTAGAACACAATAGTTTAACAAACCGCATTAAATGTGTTTCATCTTGAATAAGAAATGTTATTTTTTCTACTCCTACATAATTTACTACAAAATGAACTATTATATAGCAAATTATTCTTTTAATCGCTTCCTTAATAACATACACATTCTTTCCAGTGCATTTTTTATTGTTGCTGTCACAGAGATGAAAAATTCCATGCAAAAGTGACATTCTCAGTAATAATTTAATACGATTAAATGGTTAAAAAATGTCTATATAACGATTTACAACTAATTTTGGATCAAACAGTAGTTATTGCAGGAAAATAATTAATCCATCTTACTTCATTTTATTCATTTAACTCAAATGAAAATACTTGTTATATCCAACAACACATTCAAATTTAAATTTAATAAAATAAAAACAATCATGAGTTTTAAAAATTTAAATAATTTGACAAAAACGTTTAGAAGTGACTTAAAAACTTGGACCTAAATGTTCAAACTTTACTTGCACTCTAGTGTACAGGGTGTTCCAATTTAAACTTCCTACCTGGAAAATATCGGAATTAAAAAAAAAACAAAAAATCTGAGACACATCGATTTTCTTTTCTTATGATGGTGTAAGTTTTGGTGTCTTGGAAGCTACCCCTTTGGCAGGGGTGTTGATTGACACCACCTTTAAAAGCTTTTTCAATTATGCTCACGAGGACATATGACTTTTTAAATTTTGGTTTGGATAAGACAATAAAATCATTACTTAAAGAATAAGATAAAATATCAATGAATGTTATTTTATTAATTGTTCAAATTGGTTTCCCTCCGCTTCCATACAATAATAAAATGTTTTCTTCAGTTCCGAACAAACATTTCGAAGCTTTTCAGGGGTTATCTGAGAATATTATGTCATCGTGAGCAGAACTGAAAAAGCTTTAAAATGAGGCGTCACTCAACATAGGGTGCCATTTTAAGTTTAAGGGTATTTTACGCCCCTGCCTAAGAGTAGCTTCCAAGACAGCAAAACTTACACCATCACGTGTCCCCCTTGAAAAGAAAATCGACGTGTCTCAGGTTTTTTGTTTTTTATTAATTCCGATATTTTCCAGGTAGGAAGAGTTAATTGGAACACCCTGTATATTACTGAAATACTTTCCCATTTTAGTTTCCAGGCATATATCTACAGCCATGGTTCCTACAATTTTTTAGCAACAACATTCTTTGGAAAATGTAAATATGTACATTTTGTACATAAATTCTACAATTTTATGCACTTATGTACCATACATCAACAAAAACAATGCTTACAAATATTAAATTTTCCAGAATAATGAAAAAACCATTTGTGTAGTCTCATAATTTTCAATTATTTAACTAATACCTGGAAATTCAACGAAAATTAAGGAATTAGGTCTGTTAAGTAAACAAGTATCTCTTTTGTTTTTTTTTTGTCTTATACAGGTAACACATCATAAAAGTAATGGCAGTTTGGATTTTAAACAATATCACAGGAGTGATGAATTAATTGAAATATTAGTGTTGCGAATATGGGGAATGTTAGCAAAATGCTGCAATAACATCGTGATTGTACATTAAGCATTTTCCTCTTTGATTTCATCTGGCAACTCATAAATTTGTTCAAATTGTTCGAGAGGCTTGAGAAAGAGAACATTATTATCTCACATTATGTGCCAACCCAATTTTCAACAGAATTTTTTTTATATGTTTTGGCTAATTTTGTTAACTTATTGGCTTAGATTAGTTTTTGCGAAATTGCTAGCCTGAACTACTTAAGAAAGTGATATTAAATATAAGACAATCCATCTGATCCACTACTGTACTTGACTTCTTTTAGACAAGAAGTGAGGAATTATATAACTATGGACCAATATGAGCCGCTAAATTGTATTTAACACAATTTTTACCAGTGGGCTTACACGAAAAGTTTTATGTAAAACGTATAGAAAATGCCATGGATATAATTTAAAGAAAACGCTCCCTTCTAACTGAGTTGTGGATATGCAGAATGATAGCTTGTGTGAATGAAAGCAATGGTGATGTAATAACTTCAAACATTTTCTGTAGATGCACCGAACTTATCTAAGTGAAACTGTTAGATTTTGCTTATTTTTGAGTTTTCAAAAAAACCTTATTTAAAAAATGTTTTTTTTATTATCATATTAAAAAGAACTCAATTTAAAAATCACCCAGTCACAATATTTTATATTTTGAAAGTCTATACTGATAATTCTAATCACCTTGAAAACTTAGGTAAAAAATGAGCAATTAAATTTTTCTTTTGCATATTCAATGAAAGCGGTACAGTCGACAATTATTATTTTAATTCTCAATGATTAAGATGTCTGTCAACTTTTATATCTACTTGCTGATCACGTGATTTAGTCGTTCCTGCTTTGTGAACAATTATTTTTCTTATCTGAAGTACTTGTTTATACTACTTTTCTTTAATTATTAAACAAACGACTTCAAAATTCTGCACTACTTATTTTGAATTACTGGAACAAATATGACACATACATATCCATGGAAGAGTAGAACAAACTCAAGTTTTAAAAAGAAATAGAAAATCATTAAATATTTGCCTAACAATCCAACTTACCTTCAAGAACATTATTAACCTGTTCTTGGAAATTATGGAACTGGAAGGGAGTCAGAAATCCCAAAGACCCCAAATGGAATGCCATAACTGGTGGAACGGATTGTTGAAACAACTGACTAGCATACAATAACGTTCCATCACCACCTAAACATATAATAAAATCTATTTTGTCCGTAAGATCGTCTTTTCCATCCTTAAACGTCATGAGTTTGTCTTTAATCTTCAGGAACGCTTTGTACTGGTCCAACTGAGTGTCTTCCATCACGGCGGCTTCCACAAATACAACCATTCGTTTCTCCTAAAACAATGGCCTATTTTTATATGAAGGCAGGGTGATAGACAGAAAATAATAAGTAATAATATACTGAAACTAAAATTATTATTGAAAAAGATTATTACATTGGAAAATATCAAAGAATCATACATTGTCAGAAAAATTGTTCTAAACAACAATAGTTCTGAACAAATTTACATAAACTATACCGTTTTGTACTTTTTTCGCATAAAATAATCGAAATCAAAAAATGATGTGAGAATTTTTTTACACTTCGTATTAGTCTAGGCCAGCAAGTATTCAAACTGTGTTCTGCACAACCCTGGGGTTCCCCACAACTTCTCTGAGAGTTCTGCGATTCAGTCAAAAAGCACAACCCAGTCACTGATTATAATTATATACTCTTTTTTAAAATTATCTGATAAATATTTATCATATTTAAAACTTTAAAAAGTCTTAGTTTAATTTTTACTTAGTGGAATATCTATTTTGTTAATAGTATTTATAAATATATAATCAGTAAAAATGTGTTTGAAAATTTCTATAGGTGTGGGGGTTCCTCAAAAAAAATGGAAATGTTGGCCAGGTTCCGCAAGTCGTAAAAGTTTGAAGACCGGTGGTCTAGGCATATGAGACACTTTACTATTTTACTCATCAGTACTATAGTACAGTATTGGCTGAAGCGATCGGTATCCATGGATAAGAGTTCACAAATTATTGTGAGTATGAAAGTTCTAGATTGGTATGTTGCGAATTCGCCTCTAATGACTATTACACACCTGGGATTGACATTTCAATGTTAATCTTTCAATGTCAAGAACAGTACAAAAATACATAGATTTTAGTATTTAATTTTGTGATCAGTTAACAGAAAGCTACGTATGTAAACCGTTTTGCTATTTTGCTTGCCAATACAGCACAGTACCGGCTGATATATTGGATTGTTAGTACCCAGACATAAGAATCAACAAAAATGCTTAGACCTTCAATATTTGATATATAAATCTGATGATATATAGATACATCACATCATGTTTAAAGACAAATGAAGGGGATATTTTCAAATATAAACATGTTTTAAATAATTATTGGGACATAAAGTAGCACGATAATAGGAAGCTTAGGTATATGCTTTAAATCATTTACATTTAGTGACCACTAACAAACAGGAATCATATCATATCGCCATCACAATATTCGATTCCTGAACTGTCCTGACAGGAGTAGAACATTTATTATAGGTGCCTATATTTTTCTTTTAGAGACACATATTAAAACGCCATAATAATAAATAGACAAATATTTACTATGTGACCATTGTATGTATTCTCCACCCTCTTCAACTCTTTATTACCCCCTCTAAAAACCTAAGACTTATGATCGAAATACATTTAAATATTTTATGCAAATAAACAGGGTTAAAATAAAACATTTTTTCGTAACTCATCCCATATCGAATAAATACGTACCTCAATGAGCCAATGGACAAGCTGAACAAATGGGGACAATACAGACACATCTCGAACTTTTTTTATCACAAGAACTGTCAACGGTGGTTTATACCAAGTCAGTCTTTGACTAGCTGGGTCTTGGATAGTCCTGAAATAGAAAAAAATTAATAATAAATAGTAATCGTTCAATAAAATGAATACTTGAATCATCATTGTGATTATAACTGGGTAATCAATAAATATATTGTATGCACCAAGTTGTTATGGGATACAGTTAATAACATATTTAGCAAGATATGTATAATTTTTTGAGATTAATGGGAAAACAATAGTGTTAAAGAGTAAAATAACAATGATTCACCTGATATATTTTTTATTAAAATGATAAACAAAAAAAATTAAATGAAAACATTATTTCAACAAATGTTTAGTTTAGTTAAAATTCGAATTAAAATTTATATTCACTGTTCTCATAATTACCTAAAGAATTTTCAATGAGGTGGGTACATATTTTAATAATATTTCGTTGTTAAATGACAACAACCAAATATATTATGGGAATCAACCATGTCATTGCTTAGAAATAAAGAAAATAAATAACATTTATTTTTGTTTTTGTAATCTGCCTTCATAACCATGTTAAGAAAGATAAGATAAGATAAAAGCACATAAACAGGAAGATATTAAAATCTGTTAAAATGAAAATTTTTAAATTATGGTACTTAAATTTTACTTTTATTTTGTAAAAATAGTATAGATTCTTCGATTTATACACCTACATATACTCTACAAAAAAACACAATCTGTCTCGAACAGCAGAAGTTAACAAAATTACTATTCTAGTTACAAAGCAAGGCTCTAATTAAGAAGTCTTCCAATAAATCACCAAGTTTAAAAATGTCTACATATAAAAAAATAAAGTAGGTACCTATTTATGATGAACAGTACTCTTCCAGTTATATCAAATTCTGACATGATTGTCATATCTAAATGATATTTAACTTCCTTATTTTGAAACAATATATGCACAAAGGGAAAACCTTAACATCCTGTGTATGTAACTGCGGCTTTATCATTATCATTATTTGCAACTAGTACTAATATGATTATTTGATTACATTTATTAGTAATGTGTGCAGGATATTCTTTGGCTTTTTTTTTACAAATTTGAAATATGTATCCCTAATATGTTATCAAACCTGTAAATTAATTTACACTAGAGCACTGTGCTGCGTTCTAAAGTTGAAAACCTAAAGATTTGTTATTTGTTCTATTTGTGCTAAAAATCACATTTACGTAATGGCACACATTATATTTTAGTGTCACGTTTTATAGATATAGATATCATAACTCAAAGTTTACAGTCATTTGAGGTATCATTGAAATAAGCTTATTCTCCCAAGGAGAACTCAATTGAATGAATTTAAAATTTTCCTATGTTTAATTACAAATATTATGTAACTTCAATGAAAACGCAATATTTATAAATTGTATTAGGTAACAGATTCGCGATAATAATACGAGTTCCTACAAGTATATCAGAATTTCCTCAAAATGCCTATTGTAAGACGTCATATTTTTCTTATCGATACTATCCTTTGAAATTATAGTGTTTAAGAAATCAATAAAAAATAAAATATAAAAGATATGAAGTGGGTAGGTATTATTAGATATTCATTTAAGAAAATAATCTACAATTTTTGCCTTTTGCAAACATTTGCCTTGGCCTAATTAAAGTTAAAATAGATCATTTTTTATATAAAATATACACCTCAATGTCCAACCTTTCCCACCTTTTGAAACACACTTTCACCAAAAGGCTTCCCACATGTTAAGGCCACGAATCTAAGATAAATACGTTCTTAAACACAATACAGAGATTAGAATAAGTCATGGACTATTATTGATAATGTTTTAAAAAATATTAACAATTAAAACTTGCACGCAAAAATAATTATTTTTTTTCCTTGCAAAATATTTTTATCAACAAAGGATGAAAGTCATTTGGTAATTTCCGACTATCTCAATAATATAAGCGTTTATATGCGCATTTTTTTACCAGCATTTTAGAAATCTAAGTTAGAAACAATATCTCTTCATTGTACCAGTTATATATGTTTTCTTCAGGATATAAGACAACTGACAATATATTCAAAAATAAGGAAAAAAGTGTATTTATACCTCATATGTTTATCTTGCATTTCCTGAATTTTGCACGCCTTCTGAACGTACAGAAAATCGGGTAATAAACATAATCGCACCCCAAAATACTTTTAGTACATGCATTAAAGTCTGTTTGGAAATGAAAGAGAGTAATAAAACCCCGAGATAAGAACCGGCCAAGGACGTGGTAATATTTCGTTTCAGGTAATTATCGGGTAACACTAATGCTAACAGGTAATGGGTGTACATTAGTATATTTTACTGGATACATCATAGGGCAGGAGCCAGTGTATTGTGACAGATCAATCCAGTCTTAGAGCTGAATATACGAAGACGTGCTAGTGCAGTAGAGTAAAATTCGACTTGTGTTTAGTGACTATTGTGCCAGTGGATATAATATTGTTTGGGTAAAATGTCGAGCTTATCAGATTACGTACCTGCTAAACGCGTGAAAAGATGTGCGCTGTCTCAGA